GGGCAGCGGCGCCGCCATGAGGGCAGCCCCGCGGGCTCCGGCCGCCCCGCGGCCCCTATTTGTGCTGTTTTCTCCTCACATCTCCCCGCGCGGCAGCTGAGCAGGGCCCAGGGCCCTTCCCGACAAGGTTTGTCCCTCTCTCGCTAACAGCAGCCGGTTCTGCCCGTACTCTGGGGGACGTTGTGTGCAAACGGCTGCCCCCAGCAGTCCCCGGAGCCTCTCTGTCCCGAACGGAGAAAATACTCCAACAAGCTGCAGTCTTAGCAGAGAGTCATCGACTTGCTACAGGCTGCAGTCATCGTTAATGGGTTTTGCTGCTGTTTGGGTGTTACCAACAGCCCTTGTGTCATCTCTCCCCAGGGTAGGGCACAACCGAGGAGCAGGGCTGTGTTGTGGCTCCATCTGCAGTCAGCACCATCGTGACAGGCCGAAAAGGGCCCTTTGCACCGTGGCCAGCTGCTACCACAGGGACTACAAACACGAGTGAAAATAACCGCTTTTGGCAAGTACTTGCAGTAATGTTAAGAACACAGTATTTGTTAAGAAAAATATATCTATGAAGGCACATTCTTGCAAGCATATCCCAGGGTGGGAGTCATGGAATCAGGAGTCAAACAGGTATGACCAAGCAGTAGCCAGAAGCAGAGCCAGTTCTGTCAGAAGACAGTGAGAAATTAGAAGACAGCGTCAGCAAAACAGAAATAAGGAAAAAGGCCCCCCCCACACACCATATTCCTTTCCCATCCCACTGCTTATACCAGTGTTTTGTAGCACTTAGACAGCACTAAATGCGTAGAACCAAAGTACTTTTAGCTTTTTTAAAAAAAAAAAAATATGACCAGAGTAAACATTATCAGGAGACTTAATGAAAAAGCAGAGACCAGGTCATATCTTTAAGGTGGTATCCACATTTTCAAAGAACATGAGCTTTAGTAGTAAGATTATATGACAAGCTTTTAATGAAAATATTGTTCTTTTTCTGAAAGAGGGCTCATCATAGATAAACCTTTTCCAAACACCTCAATAAAAACAGGTGGTTGCTTTTCACTTACAGGGACCCTTGTAACTCAAGCTTATCAGCTTTTACAGGTTTAGGGCAAATAAAAGTTCAGCCCGTAGCTGTGGAAAGTCTACATCATTAAAAACAAACAGAAAAGTAAGCCTCTGTTTAGAGTAGATTTGGATGTGGAAATCCCCAGTTTGACTATGACAAAGCAACTGATAACATAGTTAAGACCAGTTTATCACAAGGAAGTACATGAAGTTTTTTGAGCTTTCCCTCCCACCCCCCAGAAAAGCACAGAAGCAGTTACACAAAGTGCTTTTGAGACATACTGCAGAAATAACAGTTGAACTTCCATCCTTGCTGATTGCAATTGAACTCAAAACAGCAAAATTAAGCCAAATAAGACCATAACCCTGTTCTATATTGAGCCATTGTCTGTATTGTATATTTGTAATGACGGAAAAGTGGCAGGTTTTATCCTGGCTTACTTTAAAGTCGTCTAACAGCAGCCTCTAGTGGTCCAGGAAGAGCTTGTTCTCTGCTAGGTCCATCTACAGCAGCAAACAAGGGGGAAAACACAAGACAAATCCCAGGCACTCTAAAGCCCTGTTTTGGAGAGGAGAGGCAGGGAATTCTGGCTAAGAAACCCAGGTGATCAAACCTTGAACATTTAAGACTTTTCAATTCTGGTAAAGTCCGTTTTAGAGCCACTTCCTAAGCCACATGTTTTTTGGGCCAAATGACATCCAACTTCCATTATCTGAGAGGCAGCATTTTGATTAAAAATACAAAAATCAAGTCTGTGTGATGACATTCTAGACAGATTGTGTAGTTTTCCCCCTTTCTGGGTATGTTCCAGCACTTCCAGTGGCCTTGAATGTCTTGGCTGAAAAGGGAGCACCAAAACCATTGCACAAGAGTTTATCCAGCCAGCAGGGTCAGAAAAGGGACTCGGGAAGCATCCTCTACAATCACAGTCTTCAAAACACTGAAATCAAGTCATGCTGGATTTTTTAAGCTATATTGTAGACAAAAATACATTTTGAGGTTTAAACATGAAAATACAACGCTGTAGAAACTAGAATTGCTCTGAGGACATTGACAAAGCTAGTTTTAGGTGCAGTATTGATTCACATAGGCTTCTATAGCAATATACTTAAGTACTACTTTAACATGAATTGCTATTAAAAGTGCATTCATTCTGGCTAAATCTTCAGCTTGATACAAGTTGCTTGAATTCAAGTGGATTGCAGACAACAAATCTCCAAACAAAAAACCCTTTCACCAACTAGAGAAAGACATCAGCCTTTTAGTGCTTAGAATAGAATGATTTGCTTAATAATCCACAGGTCTAGAGCTGGGTACAGGAAAAGCATGCACAGCAATACAAACCCGTGTATTCTTAGTTGCTTTCTGAGCTTTGTTATGATGACTTCTTGAATCCTTTTAGAATGGGATAGATGTTCTCAAATGCCTCATAGATTTCAGAACGCTCTTTTGCTCCTGTAAAGTCATGTAGGAGAAACAGATTAAGCATTGAGAATAACTGAATGCAGCTCAAAGCTAATAATGAGATTAGAAAATAGACAAGTTTAAAAGCCACTTTAATGTACTGTCAGAGATTAGCTTTTTAAAAGCAGAATTTGTATTGTGATACTTCTGCCACTGCCTTAAAGAAGAGAATTTCTATTTTCCTTTGAGATGAGACTAGATTTGTTTACATCTATAGCACAAAAGCAGCAGTTGGCCATTCTCAGCAGGTACAGAATGTTGTGGAAAAATAAAAAAGGCAGCTTAGAAGAACCACAGCATCATCTGTTTAACCTATCAATAGGCAGAACTGTTATTGTTAAGTGATGAGCAGGAGATAAGGAATGAAAGGCATTTTTTTCTCCAATACTGGAAGTTGATCCGCAGCATATTTCAAAACTGGAGGGGAGGAGTTGTGGGGCACCATGGAGTTTTTTTTTGTTTGTTTTAAAGCTTTGTTAAGTCATCTGCAATTTCTAAGCCAGCCTGATCTCTGTTACCACAAGCAAATCTTTAATACAGGCATTGTATATCAACTGTACTGCAGGAGACAAGAACATTCCTGGCCAGTGACAGTACTTGACCATGCTAGCATGAAAAACATTAGCTACAAGCACACTGCACTTAAATGAGCTAAATAGCTGGACTAAGTGGCACTTGGGATGAACTTCTGAATTTTTTCTTTTCCACAATAATATGTCAGAACGCACTTGGTCATGACTAATTCATTGGAGCTACCACAAGAACCTTTCTTGATAGAAGGGAAAAGACAACACACAAACCCACACTCGACAGATTGATTTTTTCTTCCATTACAGTTGGGGCAAGTGTTCAGAGATAAGCCTTACTTTACCTTAATCCTTCTGGGCCAGCTACACGCTCCAGAAGAGGGTGACATTAGTTTACCCAAAATGTCTTTTGCAGATGTCTGTGGAGTGGAATTGATTTCACTGAACCAAATAAATAAATAAAAAAAGGCAGAGGGAAATTGGGAGATGGAGGCAGCATTTAGGCTTTGTTCTGCGTGTCTCATAGTTCAATTAGTTGGACTCATTCATGATTTATGACTGTGAGGATCTCTGACTAAGGAAAGCTCTTTCTCATTTGTCTTTCATGAACCACAAAGCTCTCTGGGAAGAAGTAGTAATATTTACCTTCCAGTACATCCAAATAAAAGCATTTTTTTTCCCCTGAGTTTTACAAAAGAATGTTTAGGGACACATGCTCAGAAATTTAACTGAAAGACAGATACCTCTTGAGCATACTTTTTCGGTAAGACTTTCACTTAGGAGTGCTTTGCCAAACAGTCTGGAATGGGTTCCTACATCTCCACCCTTTCCTCTCATAATGTCTAGTAAATGTTGTCAGTGAAGTGTTTTAAGAACTTGGCTTCCTGTCCAAAGGATTTTAAACTGCTGTTGTTATGGTATCTGTAATTAAGCAACTGAGTAGTTACCAGCATGTCAGCGTCCTGCTGGGATTTGGTGCATTTATGAAGAGCATAAAGCCATATGTGTCAAATAAGATATTTGAGTTTAATGATACGGAGATCTGAAAACACTATTTGAAAAAATATGAGATTCTAGTGCAACAATGCAAATTGTTACCCACAGAAAACACAGTAAAGTATATAAAGGCAACACTAGGCATAAGTAAGCTTATTAGGTGGCCTTATTATGGTAGGATATTAATTTAGCTAATATTCAACTGAAACTCTTCCTTAGCACATATTATAGCGCTTACAGCTGTGCAGAGGGATACAACTTACCAGTCAGAACAACTTTTCCAGACACGAAGATGAGCAGCACTATCCTTGGTTTGACCATCCTATAAATAAGTCCAGGAAATAGTTCAGGTTCATAGCTGTTTAAAGCAAATGGGTAAGTTTATTAAAATAGAAGCATGCTTCAGTGTTAATTGCATGAAGAGCTCTTAAGTTACATTAACAATAATGTAATTATAGATCTTAAGCTAGCTACCTATAGAAATGTAGATTAGGCTTTAGGCATCTGGAAGTGAAACCTGGCAAACCCTGCTGGAGCTTGTAGGAAATCTCTGTGCTCACTTTTAAAGACTTTTCAAGCTACTTCCGAGTCTGCTTTACTGTAGAGCAGAAACTATTAATGCAACCTCCAAACAGTGCTCAAACCTTTCTTAGTCTGCAAAGAACCCTTATTATGAAGGGTCTGCTGTAACTAAGAAAGAAGACAGTTAACTATTTATTTAAAATATGTAATCTTTCAGCCAAAGCAGCCCAAAAGTTAAGTACAGTGTGTTACATGTAGTGCTAAAACAAACAGACAAACCCCCACCATGCACGCACATGGAATTCCACCCCCCGCCTTCAAAATCCTCATCCTTTCGTTGGTGATGGCAGCAACTAGCTTTGAACAAACCAGTCCTGGAGAAGGTACAGCACTTCCATCACCCAAACACAGGTTTACCTTAAATTAATATGTAATGAAAATCCAATCAAGTAAGAACCAAAGTAGTATCTCAGAAACACACCGTATTCCCAGTTCTGTATTTTGCAACTGAAGTCTGGCTTCATCCCTAAAGTTTTAAAAAACTTGTCTTTGCAGATAGACATTGAGTTTAATGGGAGTTATGCCAGGGGCCAGCTTAGCAAAATATTTACAGTGAGAACCTGGTGCATGCCCTTCCAAGTAGCTTAAAAAGTGTTTTAAATAAGCCTGAATTGTTTAGTCAAGACTTGTTATTTTCCTGGTGATATGGTCTGCAATTTAAAAAAAAAAAAAAACACTCCCACCTACTAAGGTTAGCTATAATTAGACATAGCCAGTTCTGATTACCTTCACTGCTCAGGTTAATAGAAAGCTCTTGTGCACCTTTTCTTGTACATAGCTGGTATGCAGCAGCACAAGGATTGTGCCAAACAGGAAGGTTCTAAGTCAAAGAAAACCATAAAAAGTCTCCTTTAACCAATTGATCAGAGTAGCTGAGTTTCTTGCAAGTCCTCACTCCATCTTAACGAAATCTAACACATCCAGTTTACCCCAGAAGTGATTCTACAGTTATGTAGTACACCCCCTAAATGGGTCCTAAAACTAGTGGTTATAGTGTCTCTGAACAGAGAAAGCAGTAAAAATATCCAGGAGAACAATTTAGAACAGCCCTTGCTGCTGCATTGTGCCAATCACTGTTCCAGGAGCTGAGAGTTTCACTGCAAGTTGCTGCACATCATCCTAGCGTTTTATCAGAGGATCATTTTGGCCTGTGTCCCACTAGGGACAGGAGTTGTTGCAAGAGAGGCACCTTACTAACCTTTTTGCAACACGTGGCACCCATAGCCACCTCACATTTGCCCAGCCAGTTCTGGTGAGCAGAAAACATGCTGTTGAGTATCCAATTACTTACTCTTTTGCCAGGTTTGCCCAGCCTCAGAGTTTGATCCTGTTTACAGTTTACAAAGACACTGCTTCAAGCATTGCAGGTCTCACCACAAGCCTCACCACGACCTACCTACTGAACTGCTGATGGGTGAGAACCAGCCCTTCCAGCCGGATGGGAAACCTCACGTCACAGCTCCCAACCATGTTCTGTATCTTGAAATCCAGAAACTTGGCAGGGAACCCAAGCTTCTGCACCACACGTGCATACTTCCTTGCTGCAAGCCGTGACTGCTCTTCACTGAAGGAGCAAAGAGGGGGAAATTAGATTTGATTAGTGATTTTCTTCTGCTGTGAAGATGAAAATCACTTTACATGGAGTATTATTAAAACCTTTCTCCTGTAAATTAGCACCCAAACTTCATGTAGGAAAAAGTATTTTTTCCCCCCTCTCTTTTTATTTTTTAGAAAAGAGAGATGACTTTGACCTTGAGGTTGCTGTTCATGTTGAACACCTGGAGTTTTTGACTGTTTTTAAAAGTGCCATGAGACTGTCCACATCAAGCAAGGTCCAAAAGGCATCTTCAAAGACAAGCTGGAGACCAAGTATATTGATTGTTTAATACTAAACATCACCAAAACAAATAAGGCACATGGAAATTCTCTTCATATTCCTACTCAAGTCAAATCTCAATGCTCCAGAGACAATCAGTTTCCTTCCTCCTCTTAAGTTCCATGTCTCACACAAGCGAGGCCATCTCTGTCTTTCAGATCATCTAATTTAATCAACTATCAATTGTCTTAACTGGTCCAGATTCCAAAACTTAACATTTTCTGTCTTTTTTCCACACTTTCATTCCTGGTCCTACGTGGTTGTTCTGCCCATTATGGGAGTCAGTCTGCCAAGAAAGTACAGACCTCTTCAGACAAGCCCCAACCTCTCTATCTAGGTAATCATGTCTGCGACCTGCTTGTTCTGGAGTAACCATATTGCAACAAGAAGCCAGGCACAGAAACATGGAAACAACTCTGCTAGTTTTGAGGGCAAGCCCAACCTTCAGCATGAAAGCTTAGACTGATAAGAACGAGCTTAAGGAGAAGAGATATTTTAAACTGTAAGTTAATGTATTATTCCATTGACATTTGAGCCCATAAATCGGGAAAGCTACTGAGCTTGAGGACAAGAGCTTCCAAGTATAGAAATAATCTTCTCTTTTCTCCAATTCCTCTTTTTCCCTGGAGGCAGATCTGTTGAACTAGTAAATGCACACTGAAGAGAGACTTGACAGACACAGGTTATGCCCTGACTCACTTTAAAGTCAATGAGAAACACTTATATAACTTCTTAAGAAGTCCTAGGCATTTTAGCAGCTTTTCTGCTAATGTCTGCTTAGCTCAGACTATAATTGGGAGCAGAAGCATGCAGTTCAGTAATTACTGACTCCCACCATGAAGAAAGCTAAACATTTTCAGGACTGGTACTTCATTTTTTCTTCACTATTATGGCATTCTCTGGTAGATAATGTTATAAGTACAAGACGCAGGCCCAGGGGAGTGTACCTACCTTTTTGCTCCTGTGCAGACCATTTTTCCTGAACTGAAAATAAGGGCTGTTGTTCGTGGTTCCCTGATCCTCATGATCACAGCAGCAAACCTCTAGAAAGTCAGAGTAATGTCTCACAATCAGTCTGGGGAATTCAGTTGGTACCATATATCAGCTCATCATTCCAGAAATTACCACCTTCAAGAAGCTCAGCACAGCATGAACTTGATTTGCAAGAGTACGTGCTTACTTATTACCTTCAAACCAGAGTTCTCAAGCA